TGTGTGTGTGTGTGTGTGTGTGTGTGTGTGTGTGTGTGTGTGTGTGTAGGCACTATGATGTGGAGATCAGAGGTTAATTGGGAAAGTTGGTCTTTTCCTTCTACCACGTGGGGCCTGGGGATGGAATTCAGATCATCAGGTCATCAGGCTTGGGGGTAGATGCTTTGACTTGGCAAGCTATTTCACCAGTCCAGCATTTGTTTTTTTGAGGATACTGTGATCACTCTTAACACATCAATGTATAAAAATCTGTGATGTTTGTTGGCTAGTGTGATTTTTGTAGGTTGGTTGTAGAGCACTTGCCTAGCTTCCATAGGGCCCTCTGATCTCTAGCATTCTACAAAAAGTTAGGAGGTGATTCAAACAAACCATCCAAAAACCAGCCCAGGAATAAAAAGTCTAAGTTGATTTTGAGGTAAACTATGAAGGTAAAACGGCGTAATGTCCTGAGTGTGGGCGGGATGAGTGAAAGCCTTGGCTAGCAGGGTGGTTCAGTGCACAGAGATCCACTTGCCAGCAAGCCTGACCACTTGAGTTCAATTTACAGTATCCATGTGGGAAAAGGGGAGACCCAACTCCCCAAAGATGTCCTCTGACATTTTGACTGCTGCATATCGGCTGTGGCACGCATATGCACCCACACATAAGATAAAACAAATATAATTTGAAAAAAGACATACCTGAGACCACTTACTTACTTCTGGAAAGTTTTACTAAAATTAACAACGTTTATTCAGGCTCTATTCTAAATGCTTTCTAAATATGAGTCCAGCCCATCTCTGTAGTAACCCTTTGAAGAAGTCCCCTCTCTCTGCTCCACATGCACATGCACAGAGAGGGCACAGGGCTTGGTGGGAAGCTGGGGTTTGAGCTCTAAAATCTCTGAAGTCCATACTACCAGCTACCAACCATGCTGGTCTTCCGGTTGTTTGCTTTTCTTGTCTATTCTGTACGTGGTTTCTCTTTCGTCACCCTGACTGGCAGCTTTTAAATATGGTGGCCAGTTACCATGAGACCTTCCTTCAATGACTTCCTCCTGATTATATTTCTTATCTGGAGTTCTTGGTCTTGGATGGCCAGCAGCCTCTAGGGATCCTCTTTGCTTATAACTGGACTCCTGTATTCCTCATCTTCTGTGAAATATTTGGTCTCAGCCCAATCTTGCACCCATGTTTCCTTTAGTCATTCTTAATGAGGTTGCTTTCTATGCTGAAAATTATTTTGTAAGTCTTAGTCTTATAATTAAAATGAGATTCATTAGGTCAGGACCATGTGGTTGTCCCATCTGTTGTTGCTTTCTGCATAATGGCCACATAGAAGATCCAAAGTATGTGTTTATGAAAAAATCCTGCCCAAAAAATAGTGTAATTTAGGATTAGAATTTCCTATTGGAATTCGTGTGTTTTGGAATAAGATGCACGATGGGCTGTATACTGGGAGTACAGGTATTTATGCACCACGTCAGTGCACTGTGGCTTTGGTGCCACCTTGGTTTTCTTGACAATATATGGACCCTTTTAGAAGTCTTTGACTTAGCAGTGTAGTGTGGCTACTGCTTGGCCTCTCTTGTAGTGTTACTGTGATGGAATATAGTTTCAAAGGCCCTGCTTCTGAGATATAATTTTCAGTGATAACAGACTACTGCTTAGTAACTATCTGTAGGGCCTACAAGAAGAGTTTAAATCAGAATGCCTGTGAAGCTTGAAACAATGTCTCAGTGGTTACCAGACCCACCCTAGAGCTCTCTGCATGTAGACATCCACAATAGTGCACACTGTGTGATGGAAACATGAATAGTTCCTTTGCCTTCAGAGCATTGAAACTGTTGCAATAGTCGACAAGCTTTAAAAGCCCGGTGACTTTACACAGCTTCCACTTATGTGGTATGAAGTACACCACCTTAATATTTGTATGTTGTTATCTTTTAAATGGTTATTAAGATACAACATAATTATGAGAATTATGGTTGAATTGATGTAATTTGTGTCTTCTCCAGCACATCAGACCCAGTGTATATCTTGTTCAGTTGTCACAGAAGGAAAGACATCAAACTGTCCTAAAACTAAAAAATACTCTTTTTTTTTTTTTTAAATCATAATAGCCTGTGACCTGTTGTTACAACCTGACAACTTGGCCTGTAAGCCCTGTAAGTACAGCTGTCTGTCTAGTCTCAAAGTGTTACCCTATAATGGTGTTGGGGCAACCTTTGGGTGCTTACTCTAGGCCCTTCCTCCTCACAGTCTGGAAGCCTCGAAACCTGAATATCACCCAGCACGGTTCCGACATGCAAGTGTCCTTCGACCATGCACCGCAGAACTTCGCCTTCCGTGGCTTCCATGTTCACTATAAGCTCAAGCACGAAGGCCCCTTCAGGCGGAGGACTTGCAGGCAGGTGAGCGACTGTGTGTCAAGAGCAAAAAAAAAAGTGATTTCAAAGTGATACTGGGTGGCACTGGGTGGCAGGAGTGAATGTAGGGCTACAGCAGTCAGTGGTCGTTTAAGAATGTCACTGGGTCTGTCTCTGGCTGACTCACCACTGTCCCTTGTCCCCTGTTATCTCCACCTTAGCTCTTCTGGGGTGGTATATCGCTAGAGGATCAAAAGCACAGATATTGGTAGTTTGTCTTCTGTTTTAAGCATCTCCAGGTGCTGTGTGGCAGGTAATCCCTGAACTTTGTGCTCTTCAGATCCTGACTGCTCATCAAACAACTTCCTTCCATTCATCCTTTATAGGTAGAGAACCTAGGGCTCTGGGAGGTCACTGGCTTCTTGGAGGTCATCATATAACTAAGAAGTAGAAAAAACAGGCCTTGAGCCAAGTTACTAGCAAATCAATGGCCCTGGATTTTTTTTATTTTTTAGTATGTATGTATGTATGTATGTATGTATGTATGTATGTATGTATAAATGAAAGGTCAGGGTTAAATAGAAACCTGGAAACGAACGTTGTGAACTGAGTGTGGTCAGAGCAATGGGAAAGGTTTTATGGAAGTTTTGGGACTGCCTCATGGCACTGCACGCTCTCTCTCTGTCCTGTGTGTGCCGGGTCCTGTCGTAGCCTTGCTCTCCTGCAGTCCTCCCCTTTACCACTGCACTTCTTGGACTATCTACTCAAGTTAAATGATGACAGATGAATGCAGACCAGTCCCAACTCATCCCTCCTAGCTGTAAACGGATTCGTATTGGTTTTTATTGTATAAACTATGCTCTGCCAAAGTTCTACATGAAAGTTCCACACTTCTTTCGTGCAAGACGGGGTCTCACTATGTAGCCTTGGTTGTACTCACAAGATAGCACAGGACCTGTGATGTACTCAGGCTGCCCTTGAACTCAGGCTTACCTCTGCTTCCTGAGTGATGGAGTTAAAGGCGTATACTACCATGATAGGCCCTGTTCTTTCTTAGATAGATAGATAGATAGATAGATAGATAGATAGATAGATAGAAGACAGACAGATTAAAAAATTGGTTTTTCTTAAAAAAGTTTTTAAACTAGTTTTATTTATTTTAGGATTATACATAATTTTTTTATGTGTATGAATGTTTTGCCTCTGTGTTACGTCTGCATCATATGCATGGAGTGCCTGCTAGAATCCAGAAGAGGATACGGTATCAGATCCCCTGGAATTAGCACTGCAGGTGGTTGTGAGCTGTCATGTCGATTCTAGGATCCTGACCCAAGGTCCTCTGCAAGAGCAGTAAGCTCTTAATCGACACGCCCTCTCTGCAACCCCTCCTCTCACCCTTTTTTAAAACAAGGGGTATTCTGGTTGATTTCTTTATTTTCAAATGATAAAGACGAGGCACTCCCAGCTAGGCACAAGCTATGGCAAGAGTCCTGAGCCTTTAATTCCATGAACTTCAAGTAACATGTGACAGATGATCCCATCACATCTGGAAGCGAGCTCAAACCAGCAGCAGGTCTCCTTCAACTTCAAGATGAAGAGGCCCGACACCTCTTCTACCACATGGGCCTTTGAGTTCCTGTTTGCTTTTTGTAGGACCAGAATACAGAGACAACCAGCTGCCTCCTCCAAAATCTTTCTCCAGGGGATTATGTCATTGAGGTATGTACAACTATAGATTGCCCTCTTGTTACTTCTACAGAGAGCAGCTCTCATGAAATTCTGAGTCTTTGGTTTATTGGTTTCAAGACTGAGTCTGGTGTAGCCCAGGCTAGTCTCAACCGTCCTATAGAGCTGAAGATAAGTTTGGAAGGCTCCTGTCTCCTGCCTCTACCTCCTGGGATTACAGATACTCACACTATGGTCTTTCCTTTTATGCAGACCCTGGGGATTTGAACTCAGGTCTTCAAGCTTGCATAACAAGTACTTGAATCCATGAAGCCATCTCCTCAACCTCATCTTTTTCTTTTTTAAAGAAAATTTTTTTTCTTAAGGAAGTTTATTTTCTTAAGAAAATAAATTTTATTTATTTATTTTGTGTATGTGAGTACATGAAGCTCTCTTCAGACATATCAGAAGAGGGCATTGGATCCATTACAAATGGTTGTGAGCTACCATGTGGTTACTGGGAATTGAACTCAGGACCTCTGGAAAAACAGCCAGTGCTCTTAACCAATGAGCTATCTTTCCAGCCCCAACCACTTAAAAAAAAAAAAAAAAAAGTTGATTTAAAATGTTAAACGGTGATACGGTCAAGGTGCAGCCACTGGCACTCACCCTGACAGCAGAGGATGCGGTCTTCCTTGAGGGCTGTCTTCATGAACTGGTAATAAGACTCCATGGGCTCTCAGCAGGCCCATGGGGTCTGAGGAGTCGGTGATGATCACGTCGAAATCTTGGTTCTGTTCATGAACTCAAAGCCATCTCTCACATGAAGAGTCAGCTTTGAGCTGGAGTAGCCCTCTGTGTCTGTCTGTCTCTGTGGCGTTCAGCCCCATGCCTATACCAGCTCTGTACAGCACGGCCTATGCCCTGTGACCCAACCAAAACAAAAAAAAGCAAAAACAAACGTGCGTTTATAACAAGCTCAGTCATGACCTGGAAATAAAAATAAAAAAATAAAATGTTAAACCATCACCATTATCCTCTCTTTGGCTCCCACACCCACTGTCTGGGGACAGAAAGATGAATGACATCACCAGTGTTCTACTTCCCTCGTAGATAGAATGTATAGGCGACGTGCTATCACTTTCAAAATATTAACACAGGCTCTCTGTTTTGTAGCTGGTAGACGACAGCAACACCACCAGGAAAGCGGCGCAATATGTGGTGAAGCCAGGTAAAGCTCTTGAGCTTGGATTTGACGTCACACCCTCAGAGCAGGCTTCTAGCATTTTCTGTGCTCCATAATTCATGGCTTACAAAACACCAGTCACCCCACCTCTTTAAACGATTATTCATCAAGGACGTTTCTGTGATGTTGTTGATGCCTGGAGGGTCAAAGCCCGCATGGCATCTACCACCTAGACTAGGCAACTGTCCTCAGAAGACAAGTACAGGGAGGGGCTTCCCTTCGCAGAGTTCCCAGCATATTCAGAGCTATTAGATTATTTTCTACAGCACTTTATAAAGAAACTGTTGACCCCTTTTATAGTAATGGCGGCTTATAATCTTGACAGCGGAGCTAGAGCATGGTGGTTGGGGACCCTGGAACCTACTAGTCAGCTTATGTTTTAAAAAACGAAAGTAGGAAAAGCTTTTTTTCCCCCTCTTCTGAACCTGTTCTGCTGCTTGAGTTTAAAAAAGCTTTCTCTTTGAAACCCCCCAGTGCAGTCTCCCTGGGCGGGACCCATCAGAGCTGTGGCCATCACCGTGCCTCTGGTTGTCATATCCGCGTTCGCAACGCTGTTCACGGTTATGTGCAGAAAGAAACAACAAGGTATTTCTCCGCCCGCTTTCCTCCTCCCTCTAATCCATGGCAGTGAGGCCCTTTGTCAAAACAAAACAAAAAAATAATGGTAAAAAGTCATTTTTGTTGTTGTTGTTTTGGTTTACTTTACCTTTGTAAATTATCCTTTAAAAAATTATTCTTCTTTCCCCAGCTAATGTTTAGTTTATCTGGTTGCCAGAGCCATCACTGGGTCCTTCACTGACCAAAGGGGCTGCTCCTCCATTTCTTGGCATGTCCAAGGGCAGTTTCAGATTAAATTTCTGATACACCACTACCGAAACCATGCAGTTTGAGGCTTATGCAGTCCAAAACCCGAGACTCCCTAGAAGGAGATGTCAGCTTCTCCTTTTGGTAAATTTACTTCTGAGACTTGGATCTCAAGTAGCTCAGACTGGCCTCCAACCTGCCAAGTAGTTGAAGATGACCACAAACTTCTGACCTTTCTGCATCCACCTCCCAAGTACTGGGATTTCATGTGTGAGAAACTGAGCCCTGGGTCATATGGAAAAAGACAAAGCTTTGTTTCTAGGTGTCAACCTTATCTTCTTTCCCAATTTAGAAAATATATATTCACATTTAGATGAAGAAAGCCCCGAGTCCTCCACATATGCTGCGGTTCTCCCCAGAGACAGACTCCGGCCTCGGCCCAAGGTCTTCCTCTGCTACTCCAGTAAAGATGGCCAGAATCACATGAACGTGGTCCAGTGTTTCGCCTACTTCCTGCAGGATTTCTGTGGCTGTGAGGTACAGAATCTAATTTCTTCTCTTACCCTGGGCAGGATGTATGTTCCATATTTCTCTTCAGTGCCATCTCTCCATTACTCTTCTCGGAACCTACTTTTGCCTAGTACCTTACTTTCCAAACCAAAGTCAGTCTTAGTTTGTCCTGTCTATCAGCAGCAGTAGAGGTTTCACCTGACACACTCATGCTTGAAACCTTTGAGTGGCACCCACACAGTAGGATGTTTTGTGAGTGCCCTGATGTGAGCGTGTGACCAGAGTGTGAGACTGTCATGTGACATCACAGGGAGTGCCTACAGGGTCAAGCCTCAGTGGGGCATCAGGAAGAGAACACAAATGAAGACAGCTTTTAGGAGTTTAGGCAATTCCCTAAAGGAGGTTTGCTGGGATTGGGAATGGAGGATGGGACCACCCCTGGAAGGGATCTTGGGGACCGGGAGGAACGTGTAACAGAGGGATGAGGTTGATTGGTATGAAGTCATAGAAACCAGTGAGAAGGCTAGAGAGAACTAGGAAGTAGGAGAGGGCTCCAGAATTTACAGAATGTTTGAATGTCCATGCTGGTTTCTTAACTTCTCCTCCTCCCCCTCCTCCTCTTCTTCATCCTTCTCCTTCCCTTCTTTCTTTCCCCCTCCTCTTCTTCTTCCTCTTCCTCCTCCTCCTCCTCTTCTTCCTCCTCCTCTTCCTCTTCCTCCTCCTCCTCTTCCTCCTCTTTCTCCTCCTCCTCTCTCTCCTCCTGCTCCTCCTCCTCTTGTTTTCTCACTCTGTAGCTCTCTAGCTATCCTGAAATTCAGGCTGGCCTCAAATCCATAGAGATCCACTGCCTCCCAAGTGCTGGGATTAAAGGTGTGTGCCCGTGTGTCCGACTTTCTTAGGTCTTCTTGAGTTAACTATCATCATGTAGCTTTTGCATAAACAATGACCCTTAATTTTTTTTTAATTTTTAATTTTTTTTGTTTTTGTTTTTGTTTGTTTTGTTTTTTGTTTTTCAAGACAGCATTTCTGTGTGTAGCCCTGGCTGTCCTGGAACTCACTCTGTAGACCAAGCTGGTCTAGAACTCAGAAATCCTTCTGTCTCTGCCTCCCAAGTGCTGGGATTAAAGACGCACGCCACCACTGCCTGGTGACACTTAATTTTTAGAGCGGAGTCTAAAAATTAAGCTATAGTTGAAGGCATACTGTTTGTTACAAATGCAAGTTACCTTATTTTTTAGTCCATTTGGTCCATTTCTTTGGTGATGCTGCCCTCTGGTGTTAATAAGATGTATTTAAAAGCTGGTGGGATTGCATCCTGTTGGGAAAGCCTTGAGTTTAGCAGATGAACAGCTGCTGAGAAACACTGCAGACTACAACTGTATCCAGTGGCGCCATGCAGTTCAGACAGCACAGACAGAGGTGGTGTATCTGTGCCCTGTTCTTTTGTACTTAGATGAAGCTGCACATGGTTTATGTTTGAAATAGCTATATCATCTATAGTACAGACTTACTCTGTGTAGCTTATAAAGCTTCTCTGTTCTGGGCTGGCCCATTTCTGATTATTTCTCAAGGATAAACTCCTCACAATGGAATTGCTTACTCAGAGATAGGAATATTCTTAAATATACTTATGTTTCATTTATTAAGATGAAATCAACTAGTATAGAGTTTTTTGTGGGTTTTTTTTGTGGTGGTTTTTATTTATAGATTTGTAGAACATTCCACATATGTTTAACAAACTACACGGGTCAAAAGATTAGTAGACACTATTTTTGTGTGATACAGAAACCTAGGCGCTACATATTTCAAACTACGCAGTTAGCGGCAACTGCAGATAGACTCAAAGCAGTGTACCATATCTTCTGAAGAATAGCAGGTAGATCATAATTCAAGGCAGTGTACCGTATAGACCATGACATGTTTCAAGGCAGAGGCCAAGAAGATTCTGTACTTTTCCACCACCTGGCCCCTCTTACCCCCTCCCCTTGTAAAACATGCTATAAAAAAGCATCTCATGTTCAAAAAAAAAATTAAAAAAAAATATCTGAACACTCCCCTGGGGGAAAAAAAATAAAAAATAAAGTATCACCCCTTGGGAAAAAAAAAAAAAAAACCAAACTACGCAGTTAGCTTGAATGTGTAGCATGGAGTTTTTAGTTAAGCTGCGTTGTGTTCCTGGAAGAGTGTGCACCTCAGCCACCCACCCAGAAACTCTTTGGATCCAGGAATGAAAGAGACACACATTAGCTTATTTTTGAAGTGACTTGGCCACTCAAAAGCTGGGCAGTTCTACTCCTCTGCTTGACTGTCATAGATTTCCCTCCTGTACTCCTGACTCAACACTCTCTACATCTCTGATCTACCTGTTCCTCCTGGGTGGCCCCCTAGTCTTTGCTGCCCACGGTACTCTGGGCAGTCTTTTTGGGGTCCACCTTCTCACCTATATTTCAGATGATGTTCCTTCTGCAGCTCTAAGTCTGATCCGTCTCCCTCCAAAACCTGACAATTTTCCTCTCTCTTCCTCTCTTCCTCATCCTAGCCCAAGCAAATCTGAGGTCCCGCCCCACCCCCTTACCCAGCCATTGGCTGCTGGCATCTTTATTTATCGATCAAAAACCAACTGGGGACATGAACCTTCAGTGTTTGGACAGGTTCCCAATTAAATCAAAGCATTAGAACCAATCCCTGACAATAATATTACCATGGATTAAAATATGAGTTAGTATTCTTTTCAGCAGATGGATAGGTGTTGGGGCTTTCTTCTCTTGGGTACCATTTTAGAACAGGAGGATTCAATCCTTCCAGAGTAGCCCTCTGCTGTATAATCTCTGTTTAGCTGTTAGGGATTATTTTTTGAGCTACAGGAGAAATGGTACCAATACAGTTGCCAAGGGATGCTGCTTACAGTATCAGATGAAAGCAGTTTGAAAGTGTAAAAATCCTTTGAGGGCATCAGGCATACTTGGATTTCTTTGTTTTATCAGCGATCCCACTACTCTCTTGACCCTCTTATCCCCAGACCCTGTGGTTCACAGGCCTTGTAGAGCTCTGACATTGTAGATCTCATGGAACCAAGAGAAAGGTGCAGCCCAGACAGGGTTAACCAGGAAACCTATACTGTAGCTGCAGAACAGTGGGCTAACCCTGGGTCTATGAACACGGTCACAGAGGTCCTCTTTCTTAGTCACATTCTGAATGTGACTCACCTGTCATTGTAGATGGCTCTGGCAGCAGGCCTAAGCTCCATATCCCAGTACAATATGGGGTCACTATCCACTTTCTCTCCTCAGAGCCATTTAGCCTGTGTCCAGTATCTTTCTGCTCCTTGCATCTGATAGTCATTCTCATCACACAGACCACTCACAGTTCCTTCCCATCATATCGTATGACATCTTCAAGCTGTCTCAGACAAGCTGCTGAAAATCCTGGCTCCTGGCTTCTCAACTGTAGGGCAGCAGTGGTCATGACTTTATGTGTTATCAAAATGATGTCATGGATAGCAACCACTTTCAGGAAGTCTGGTGTGTGGATGTGGTGTTGACTACAGAGCGTGTGTGTGTGTGTGTGTGTGTGTGTGTGTGTGTGTGTGTGTGTGTGTATGTGTATGTGTGTGCGCACATTTGCGCATACACACACCAGTATCCCAAAGCCTGTACGTATCCCTGCTAATAATGGCTGAAGGGCAGATTCTTGGACTTCATTGTTCTTGTTCCAGTTTGTTTTTTCTTTCTAGGCATTGGTTGGTATAAATGAATACCGAGGTGACTGACCTGTGGTGCTTTTTCCAGGTGGCTCTGGACCTGTGGGAAGATTTCAGCCTCTGCAGAGAGGGGCAGAGAGAATGGGTCATTCAGAAGATCCACGAGTCCCAGTTCATCATTGTCGTGTGCTCCAAAGGCATGAAGTACTTTGTCGATAAGAAGAACTACAGACACAAAGGAGGCAGTCTCAGTGCAGGGCAAGGAGAGCTCTTCCTAGTGGCCGTGGCAGCCATTGCCGAGAAGCTCCGTCAGGCCAAGCAGAGCTCCTCTGCGGCACTGAGCAAGTTCATTGCTGTCTACTTTGATTATTCCTGTGAAGGGGATGTCCCCTGTACCCTGGACCTGAGCACCAAATACAAGCTCATGGACAACCTTCCTGAGCTCTGTTCCCATCTACACTCAGGAGAGCAGGAGGAGCCGGGCCAGCACCCAGCACACAGCAGCAGAAGGAACTACTTCCGGAGCAAATCTGGCCGCTCCCTGTATGTTGCCATTTGCAACATGCACCAGTTTATTGATGAGGAACCTGACTGGTTCGAGAAGCAGTTTTTACCCTTCCAACGTCCCCCTGTGCGCTACCAGGAGCCAGTCCTGGAGAAATTTGACTCAGGGTTGGTTTTAAATGATGTCATAAGCAAACCAGGGCCAGAAAGTGACTTCTCTCTAAAAGTTGAGGCTTCTCTACTTGGGGCCACTGGGCCAGCTGACTCTTACTCATACCTGGAGAATCAGCATACAGGCCTGGACCAAGACACTGAGGCCCAGCCCACTTGTGATAGTGGCCCTGCCTTGCAGCCCCTATTGCATGCACTGAAAGCTGGTAGTCCCTCAGATATGCCACGGGACTCAGGCATATATGATTCCTCTGTGCCCTCATCAGAGCTGTCTCTGCCTCTGATGGAAGGACTCTCCCCTGATCAGATAGAGACATCTTCCCTGACTGAGAGTGTATCTTCCTCCTCTGCCCTAGGTAAGATGCATTAGGACTGGGCCCTTATTTTGTCTGTCTGTCTGTCTGTCTGTCTGTCTGTCTGTCTGTCTGTCTGTCTGCCTGACTGTCTGTCTGTCTTATCATCTGTCTATCATCTATTGGGTTGTTGTTGCTGTTTTGTTTGTTTTTTTGAGACAATTTTTTAAAAACTAAGTTTATTTTCTGTGTGCACACACACACACACACACACACACACACACACACACGGGAATGAGGGCTGGGTGTGGCATGTGCAGGCACATGCAGATCGAAGGATACTTTGTGGGAGTACATCCCCTCCCACCGTGTTACCCTGTTCCCACAGGTTAACCTCCGGTTGTCAGCTTGTGGGCAGTCTCCTAATTCGGAAAAGATTGGAGTACTAAATGCATGCACTGGGCAAGGGTCTGTGGGATTGTGTCCTCACTGGGAGCTGAGGTGTTTGCTGCCTTTATCCTTCCACTGCCGTTAAAGCCCAGATGTCTACCGAACCTGATGTTCACGAACACTGTATTCTTCTCAGTGCTAGCTTTACACAGTGTTCCAGGAAGGAGGGCTCTTCCCCAGAGAGCCTCAGGAATCCACTACACCTATAATTTCTTGGAGTCACATATGTAAAACTTTGGCTCTAAAGGAGGGATCTTTCTTCCTCTGTTAAGGGGACTAAATCCTGTTATGAGGATGAGAGTGTTATTCTGAGCTGGTTCTGGTGCCTGCCTCATTTGTACAACACGCAAGAGCGAATTCCAGCCATGTTGTGGCACTGGCGATCTGGATCAGTGACGTATTCTGATCGTGGCTCTGTCCTTTCTTCTCTCCTTAGGTGAGGAGGATCCCCCTGCTCTCCCTTCCAAGCTCCTTGCCTCTGGGATATCCAAAGGCGAACATGGTTGCCATAGCTACACTGATGAACTCCAAGCGGTTGCCCCTTCTTAAGGATACAAAGAATCTAAGCATCGCCACTTTAGCTGCTGTTCTCTCTGCCTCCCCAGCTCACCTCTGTGGTTGTGCAGCCTACTTGGAGCTGAGGGCTCACATGAGGATATCTGGAATGAAATTCTGGCTAGCACTCATCCGTTCTGCCCCAGCCTTCTAACGGATACTTAGCAAAGTCTCCAATTTCCCAAAAGCATATGGAACCCTGAAAGGCATGTCCATGAGATCTGACTGCAGCTGTCCCCGTGAGGCCAATCCTTGGATCAAAGCCTATTCTGGTTGGGTAGAGTGGAAACAGGTAAAGAGAAATAGGAAAGCACCCACACAGCCTGCTCTGGCTTTACTTGAACTCTGGCTACTTAAACTCAAAATGCTTTGTGGAAAAGCCCTCTAGGGCTTTTACAGCTACACACATCAAGTACTGTTAGGACCCAGGCTGTGCTGCAAGTGATGTTTCCATCCATTTTGATGTGGAACTTACACTGTCCTGAGTGTTACATAAACTTTGAGTCCAAGGTCCAGACAATGACTAAATATCATCCGGTAACTTTTTGTAAAACAACTCTCTCTATTGTTGGGGAGTCTATGGAGCAGACTGACTGTCTTGACTGTTCCACGTGAAATGGGTTGACTAATGTACAGATGTCAGAACCTGAGCCTTTTCCCTGCATTGAAGTAGCATCCTGTGGGAGCCACGGCCGTCTGTTTAGCTTCCCTGGGCCGCATTTACTGCCCTGTAGCTCGGGTGCTGACGGCTGGACATGGAGGACTGCTGTCCATTAACCCAGCTGGGCAGCAACATTATTTGAATTTGTGGTTTGTATTTCAGCTGGTGCTGTGTCTTGAATGTTAGAGGTCAGAGTCCACTAATACACGACCGTGTACGGGAGACAGTGGCCAGTTAGTCTACTGGTTTCGACAAGTGACAAACCTCCTTTTCAGAAGGCAGAAAGGAGGGGATTGTTACAAGAGTAAATGTTCTATTTTTATGAATGAGTCTTGTACAGAAATTCTGTTTCCAAAGGTAAAACATCTCTTCACATCCTGTATGTTAATTAGATGTATATAATGATGTGTCCGTCTCCTCTGTGGAATCCCCATCCCTCGCCCTGGTGCATTTGGTGAAATCATCCTTCTCCACTGTTATCATGGGTGCTGTTGGGTTTTGGCAGCCTATCTTTTCAGCATTCTGTCAGGAACTATTGATTTTTCCCATTCCTCCACCAGATTGGACCAACATTAAGGGGGTTGCTGAGAAAGATCTCAAGGTCAGGTGTGGAGGTGAGATGAGCCAGGGATTTTCCTTCTAGGCACCGTTTCAGTGGGGAGAGAAGGGAGCCCTCAGTTCCTGCGGAGAAGAAGAGGTTTGTGTGTATTTTGGATGAAAATGTCCTCCTCCCTGCTCCGCACAGGCAGCTGCCAGCTTCTCAGGAGAACGTGCTCCTGTGTTCTCTGGCAGAGCACAGAGCAGCTGCTCTGGGCAAGCTGTGTGCTGGTTTCACCGTAAAACCAGGCATCCCAGCAGAGGAGTTTGCACCATATTATCTCTGTGGAATCCAGACTGAGCAGACAGAGCTCCCACCTCCAAGCTCAGTCTTGGCATTCATTCTGTGAGGGAGATTGGTGGGCCTAAATCGCTAATGTATGACCGTTCCCTGGGAACATCATCAGAGAATTTTTTTTCTCTTTTTAAATTGAGGCCAAGAAATATTTTATGCCCCCCAAAGAGCCATTAGAAACCACATTTAGGATAGATATTCAGCTTTGCATATGGAATGTAGGGTCCCTGAGATGCCCAGGAGCAGCATGGGGCCTTGGGCTTAAGGCTTAGCATTAGCTGGATCCCAGGCCCAGGCAGAGAGCTTACTGCATGAATTCAGATGAGGAGACTGGAGGGAAGCCATGTGAGCCATCTAGCTTGCTAGTCTGAAAAAGTCAGGGTCAGGTGATGGCTTTGTTTGTATTTAGCAATTAGATGCTTTTATTTTGACATACAAGTGTTTCTGATCAAAAAAAGCCAGATTCTAACATGCCAGGCAACAAAACAACAGTAAGGTTGCTTAACCCAGAGTGAGCAGATAGTGGGGGGAGCCATATTATTAGCCAGCCCCTTTCCCATACACCTCATCATTGAGCCAGGAATGAGAATTGCCTTGCAGATTAAGGCAAGGTGCCAGTTCTGAACAGAGCTGCAGTCTTTGACTCCGAATTGCCCCGTGGAATAGAGGAAGGATCTGACAAGGCACAGACTTTTTGATGCTGTAGGGAAACAAGAGGTTGGGGCTGAGTGAATGGTTTGTGGGGAAGTAGACCATATCCACTGGAAGGGAAGCTGAGGGTGAGACCCTGGGGCTGGCGGGGAGGCCAGGGCACCAGGAAGCCAAGACAGTTGTTGACCTGTGTTTATGCATGTCCCACAGGCAGTTCTGATGCATCTGACTGGCTTAGAGATGAGTCAGAAACAAGTTCACCTGCCCTTGAAGCCCAGACTTACCGTGACATAGTGGTACATATTGCTAATTTTCTTGACAACCTTTAGTAGCAGGTCCTCTGACTTTTATGTAAGTAACTAAATAGGAAACTGCTCCCCCAAAAGTGTGGGATTGCAGGGTCACAGGAGCTTTTCAGAAGAAATAGGGGAGCTGTTTTATTCCTGGTGGTGAAATGTAACACCCTTGCTTCAGTAAGAAAGGGAAATAGGAAGTCCCTAGCTACCTCAACATGAGAGAACATTCTGCCTGCCGTTATTGGGAAGAGGCAGTGCCAACGTGAAGTTTTCTATCTTCCGTTGTTGGGGATGGCTGCTGGTAATGGGCAAAGTTTGTGTTTTCTGGGGCACTAGTATACCCAGGCATAAGGGAAACAGTAACATAGCGCCTTAAAGAGAGACAACAGGGCATGGCAGCGACTGGAGCAAACCAAAGCACCCTTGTCCAGCCTTCAGGAGTAGAGAACATTCCAGATGAATGTCTCCATGCAGTATTTCCTGGACTTCCTGGTTTTCAAGAAAAGCTGAGAATGTCTCATTTTGAAGCTGTTAATGTCTAGTGCTAGCAAGACAGCTCAGCGAGTAAAAGCGCTTCTGAAGCAAACCCAGACGATATAAGTTTAGTCCCTGGAACCCACAGTGGGAGGAGTGAAGTAACCCTGTCCTAAAAGTTGTGTTCTTTGTCTTCCTCATGCTGGCTGTGATGCTCACAGATTGTGTGTGTGTGTGTGCACATGCACACACATTTGTGTATCTGCATGTGTGTGTGCACGAGTGTGCAACACCAAAATCACATACAATAAAAAAAATAAGCTAAACATCACCAGTTAAACTTTGGAAACTACGAAGGTGAACCCAGGACCAACAGAACATGTAGATAGATCTAATTTTGCCCAGTGGCTGCCAGGTTGTGAATTCTTCTTTGTAAGATGTGAAATGAAAACCACTCACAGTAATTCATGTGTGTGGGGCCCCGGGAAAAGCTGTGCTAGCCCTATCCTTCAGACAAACTTGATGTCCTCCTGATTAATTTTGCTTCTTCTGACAGGATCTCCTGTAGCCCTTGCTAGCCTTGAACTCCTGATACTTCTCTCTCTGGTGTGCACCATGACCCACAGCCTCAATATGATTCTGAATACATTTTAAACATTTTGATAGTGTCTTTTATATTTCATAATATCTTGAGAGAAAGGCAGGTCAGCTGGTTTTTGTTGTTGGTGGTGGTGTTTTTTTGAGACAGGGTTTCTCTGTGTACCCCTAGCTGGCCTCAAACTCTGAGACACACCTGCCTCTGCCTCCCAAGTGTGGGATTAAAGGTGTGCACTGCCTCTGCTGCCACCACCATCATCCTACTGCTGTTAATTTCAAAGTCAGATCTATTGTCCTATATTAAAAAGCAGGTAACAGTTGCATTTAAAACCCCTAACTTTAGGGCCTTATTTATAGTTTAGTTCTAATTGTCGTCATGTTTTTATGTGTGTGGTAGAGTTCTGAGCTCATGCCAAGGTGTTATTAGGAGAATTTATTTGGGGACTCCAGCAAAGGCTCCCTCAGAGTGCCCTCACACTGGGCTTCGCCATCTTCCTTTCTCTGCAGTCTGGGACTGGCTCTTCTGGAGGAATGCTGTAAGAGGTGGAGAAATGCTTTTCTGTTGTTGAGATGGCAGGTGTCCCCATGTTGTTTTGCCACTCTTGTCACATCACCACCTTTCCAGACTCAAGGGGGAAAGTTGGCCAAAGAACTAGCTAGCTGTTAGAGGTTGGTTTGGTTCTGGTTTTAGAACATGGGGGGAAGGCTGAGCTCACCCAGCACGCTCCCTCCGCTCCCGAGACAGGCTGCACTTGAGTTGTTCCAGACACACGGCTGTGGCTGAGATGCTGGCTTCAGCGGAGGGATTCTGTAACCTCCCTGCTGATCAGATGGTCCTTTGTATGTCTTCCTTGCAGAAATTCAAACCAGCTTTCTTTTGTCTACAGCGTAGAGGAGAAAGAACAGCTGGTCACCTTCCCAGCATTGAAAACCGCAGTGAGGTCATCCCCTGGTGTTTTTTTTCCCCCAGTAGTAAATAATCCCACCCACTTAAGGTCTTTTACAGCTCTAGTGTTCTGGGGGCTTAATGATTTCCACCGTTCTCCTGCTTCTCGGCCTCACACTCAGTTTTGTTATCCGAGTGACACCCATGCCTTGTTCACGTGGGAGCCGCCTGACAGCCGTGCTCCAGTTAGGATTACAGGGAGATCTATGCGGGCCTGCTGCTCTCTCACCACATAAAAATATCGTGGCACTTAAAAAAATGTTATACCGCGTTCCCTCATTCAGAACTCCACTTGTCCTCTTGGTGGTAGTCCTTGCTCTTGTGGTTTATTCTCTCCACAGGCGAACAGCCGGTGCTTATTCCTGTCGTGTTCAGTGTCTTCTTAGTCTGAAGACACTCCTTGCCGCCAGCGCCTACCTTCTGAGTGGCAGCTACCCCACACTCCAACCTGGGGTTCCAGTTTTTACCTCTCTCTAGACTTGATCTTTATTTTGTGAATCGTATTCTTGTTTAAATGGCTCACACTTCACCAGAACCTCTGGCAAGGTGAGGCCAGAGGTTGCCAAGTGCCTCTTTCCCACTTGCCACCAGCAACAGGGACTAATTTCCAAACACCTTTGAATGCCTCGGAGGGCCTCTGGAGAATTTTGGCCAGTTGTCTTCTTTCCTGCCCCTTGGTTCACCCTTGATACTCACCTGGGAGCACAGATACCTGCGGGGCCTCGCCCTCCGTCTCCAGGGCTTTAGCTCTCAGCTGAGCAGGCATAGTGTTCCGATACAGTCAAGAGCCAGACAGAAGCAATCATCCTGACTGGATAGCTAATGTTTATATCACAGGGACTCTGGTAGGAAGAGGAGGAGCAGCGGCCCTGTGTGGCTACCATTAGATTATATTCGATGTGTTCATCTGTTATTTTTTTTTTTAAATCCATCTTTCTGTCAAAGAAGCATGTCAAGTTTGGACAGCAGCAAAAACCTCTGTATAAACTCAAAGTGGTCATTTTGAGAGTAGCTTCTGTTTTCCTGATCTGTTTAAAAACAAAAGTATTTTTTACTGTGGAAACTCCCATGTTAAGGAGGGGGGCCCCGCAGGCACAGTGAGGACTGATGCCGTTGTTCTGTTTTGTCTCTAAGTTTGTCCTTTTCTGGGATTTTTGATGGAATGGTAAGCACTGACAGCCTGTAGCACTGTGCCATATTTTTACATTGGCAATATTGGTGGTGTATTGTGGTATATTTGACTGTACAAACTCTGTAAATAGATGATAGTAAGTCATGGCTGACATTTGTAAGATGCTTTTGTACTTTAGAGTTTTCTACATCAAATAAAGTGTTTTCTTGTAAGCCTGTGTGTGTGGCTCCTTACTTTAGAACATCTGTCCTGTTTCCTTCCTAGCCTACACTCCTGGCTGATGGCTGAGGAGTCTGCCTCAGACTGAGAAGGTAAGGAGGAGGGCTTGCATCTGTACCTTGTTCTTCAGGGTGACTTTTTGGAGCTCATCACTTCTGGGTCAGTTCCCAGCTCTGCCTGCAGGTATTATGACCCCGTGATTAGGAAACCCTGGTCCCCAGATTCTATAGAATGGGCCCGAACCCCTGCTTTGGGGGCTGGTGACTTCAACTGAGCTCCTGCACCTGAAAGTGTAAAGCGCACCTGAAAGTGCCAGGTATCCAGAAGAGGGCAATGGCTGACGGTAGCAAGGAGACAGGCTATAAGCCTCTGCCCACTACCTAAAAAGGAGATGGTCAAAATTTGGGGTCTTGGGAATGTCAAAAATTGGCAGAGCCCACCTTACTGCTCAGGGTTAGCCAGCCAGGTAAATGTAGACAGGAAGTTGGGTTGAGAAAGGCAGAAAGCTTCCTAATGAAGTGAAGGAAGAGGAAGTCAGCAGGTGATTTCTGGAAGGTGTTTGTGTCTGTTGTTACCTCCACCTGACACCAGAGGAGCCTCCAACAATCGTCCTCAGTGTTGGTTCCCTGGACCAAGGGATTGAGACGCCATCACATCCGGTTCATAGGTCACAGGTTTCTCATTATTAAAGGGCAGAAAGAACCTTTGGTAGTAATTGGAGTGACTGTTCTTAACTGAATGTGGATATTAGGAATAAATCTTGTTCTCTTGCTCATCTTTTTGCCTGGGTAGACACGTTTCTGGACTTCTGCCGTGAGGGTTCCAGTGGTCAAATAGCCATCGTCAACCCCAGACATTCACAAAAGCAGGGGTTTGTGGGGATCAGAGAAAGCTGTGAATGAGTGTGTAAGGAGTGGATGAGGCCCTGAGGTAATGTTTGTGTTGTCATGGATACAATGGCCTGGCAAAGCCTTCCCTTGGTTTGTGTGGGATGCTGACTGTGCAGAAATGCTGCTGGAAGCTTCTTCCCGGGTTGTTTACGACCTGAGACAGCACCCCTGCAGAGAGAGACTCTCCTACAGAGATTGGCCAAACCTTTTTATTCAGATCTACATGGTATACCAGCTCCTGCTGTACTCAATAAACCTGCCTCCCAGATTCACATGTATAATAAACACTTTTATGTTTTCCTGAGTGCTCAGTCTACCTGATCCCAGCTTTTTCTTTTTTCTTTTTAAAGATTTATTTATTTATTTTGTGAATACATTGAGGCTGTCATTAGACACACCAGAAGAGGGCATCGGGTTCCATTGCAGATAGTTGTGAGCCATCATGTAGTTGCTAGGAATTGAACTCAGGACCTCTGGAAGATCAACGAGTGCTCTTAACCTCTGTGTCTCGGTTCTCTATTGCCTGTTACCCCAGGTAAGTTGGTCCCTAAGCTGTGCAGGTCTTAGAAGGATTAGCAGTACTCTAGGATGAGATGGCCGAGTGCCATCTTTCCCACTGTTGTGCCATATGCCAGGAAGTGGCTAGATAATGGCATCCAGCCAAACTGAGCCCGGGCCAAGAGGAACTTGGAGTCTAGGAAGGTAGGGGCATGCCTAGCCTTGAACGCAAGTGAAGGCAGGTTCTGCCTTTAGTTTTAACTCCTGAGGGTCAAGGCACATAAATATCCTCTACACTGGGTGAAATTGCAAGTGAGTGATGAGGTTTTGCTATTAGCATTGGGAGTGTTGTGATTAAGGCTTTGGCTGGCTGAGCTCAGAGCTCAATCTGCTGGCAGCTTTCTGACTCTAGGTAGGTGACTTGCCCTGTTTAGGCTTTAGTTTCGTTATCTGGGAAGCCAAGCAAGGCTGTTTTGAGGTTTGAATGTAAGTGATTCTGGACATTTAACCTGACACACAGTGTCTGTGGATGTGTGGTCACCAGGGGGCAGGGCAGGTCTGGTAAACTGAGGTTTTCTTCCAAAGCCTTCCTCAGCCATGGCCTGGCCTATAACCAAAGCAGAACCTCTTGGATGTCTCAGGGTAGAAGGGCAGCTAGAAATGGCCCTTGGGGGGAGATGGTCACTTAATTAGATGAAACTCCTATTTGAAACCAGTGGTGTTGGGGTGAATACCTATGTTCATACATAGCTCTTGGCTATGTAAGGGGAATAGACCATTCTCTGTTTTCCCTTCTCAACAACAGACACTTTCTAGGTTCCTTTCCTTTCTTTTTCTTTCCCTTCCTTTCCCTTCCTTCTTCCTTCCTTCCTTCCTCCCTCCCTCCCTCCCTCCCTCCCTCTCCCTC